TGGCACAATCTTGGCTCACTGCAACCTTCGCCTCCCAGGTTCAAGTAATTCTTCTGCCTCAGCCTCCTGATCTGCTGGGATTACAGGCACATGCCAGCACACCCAGCTAATTTCTGGTATTTTTAGTAGAGACAGGGTTTCACTATGTTGACCAGGCTGATCTTGAACTCCTGACCTCAGGCAATCCACTCACCATAGTCTCCCAAAGTGCTGGGATTACAGGTGTAAGCAACCGTGCCCGGCTGAGAGAAATAGATTATTAAGGCTTACCTATGGGCTAGTATATGGGAAAGGCAAAGTATTCATAGTGAGATAAAGTTAATCAGGAGCCTTGAATGTCTTTGTGTACAAAGCCCAGCACCTGTGTACAGAGAAAGTAGACTGATTTTTACCCTTGTGGAAACTTCTAGTTTGTTGAAGGCAATAAGGCCATCCCTGTACATAAAATACATTAACAGTGATCTGTAATCACAAACTGATGGAGTTAGGTAAAACTCTACAGGGTGGTGAGGGAGATGCTGGAGGAAATACAGTAGATGAAGCTGAGTAAGTTTAAGGAAGTTACCCTGGAAAAGGTGAGTTTATAGTAGGGTTTAGAAGGCAAGAAGGAAAATAGAAAGCAGAAAAGTCATGGAAGGCCTTTTCACACATACCATGACCTATTAAACCAAAGTCAGAAGAAAGTCAAATATTTGTAAATATAATAGGAGTTTGGGGCTGGGCGTGGTGGCTCACGCCTGTAATCCCAGCACTTTGGGAGGCCGAGGCAAGCAGATCACCTGAGGCTGGGAGTTTGACACCAGCCTGACCAACATGGAGAAACCTCCATCTCTACTAAAAATACAAAATTAGTCGGGCGTGGTGGCGCATGTCTGTAATCCCAGCTACTCGGGAGGCTGAGGCAGGAGAATTGCTTGAACCCAGGAGGTGGAGGTTGTGGTGAGCCAAGACTGCACCATTGCACTCCAGCCTGGGCAACAAGATGGAAACTCCGTTTCAAAAAAAAAAAAGGAATCTGGGCTAGGGGAACAGGGATCCTCTATAGAATTGAATAGAGTTTGTTTGTTTTTTTAAAGACAGGGTCTCACTCTGTTGCCCAGGGTGGAATGCAGTGGCACAATCTCAGCCCACTGGAACCTTTGCTTCCTAGGCTCAAGTGATTCTCCCACTCAGCCTCCCAAGTAGCTAGGGCTATAGGCACGCCCTACCATGCTATGCCCAGCTAATTTTTTTGTAGAGATGGAGTTTCGCTATGTTGCCCAGGCAGGTCTGGAACTCCTGGTCTGAAGCCACCCTCCTGCCTTAGCTTCCCAAAGTGCTGGGAATACAGGCGTAAGCCACTGAGCCCTTGAATGGAGTCCTGAAATGTGGAAAGTTTTTTTGTTTTTTTTTTTAGACAGAGTCTCGCTCTGTTGCCCAGGCTGACTGCAATCTCCCCCGGCTGGATTCCAGCAGTTCTCATGCCTCAGCATCTCTAGTAGCTGGCACTACAGGCATGAGCCACCACGCCTGGCTAATTTTTTGTATTTTTAGTGGAGACAGAGAATTTCCCCATGTTGGATAGGCCGGTCTCGAGCTCCTGGCCTCATGATCCACCCACTTGGCCTCCCAAAGTGCTGGGATCACAGGCATGAGCCACTGCACCTGGCTGAAAAGTGGAAAGTATTTTAAGGTGGAGAATGGAGAGTTAAGCAAGACAGGAATGAACGTAACTATAACAGAGGCTATACACTGCTAGGAAGAATGGGCTAGATTTTGGAAGGCCTTGAAAATCAGACCCAGTGTGGATTTGATGCAATAGACAGTAAATAAGTCATTCTAAGATGGGAAGAAATTTAGGAAATAGTAGAAACTCATAATAAAGGAAGGGTTTCTGAAGCTTGTCCAAGGGAATTTGGATTATCTCCAGAGGCAATTGGGGATGTTAAGTTTCTTTTTTTTTTCTCCCCAAATTCCTTTTCACTGGTAGGCTTAGAGAATGTACAATTTTAATAGAAAAAAAGAAATTGCTTTTTACCGGTACGAGGAGTATCTAAGCAAGGAAAGGCCATAGGCCACAAATAAGTTGCTGGAGCATGAAGACTGACAAGTGGTTTCTTTCTAGGAAGCTATGAGGGACCCTGTGAGCAGCCAGTATAGCTCCTTTCTTTTCTGGAGGATGCCCATCCCAGAACTGGATCTGTCGGAGCTGGAAGGCCTGGGTCTGTCAGATACATCCACGTACAAGATCAAGGACAGCAGCGCTGACGAAATGATCGGGCAAGCAACTGGAGCAAAGCAGGAGAAAAACCCTGAAGGTGATGCCCTCCTTGAGTACAGCACCTTCAACTTCTGGAGAGCTCCCATTGCCAGCATCCACTCCTTCGAATCGGACTTGCTCTAAGGCCAAGACTTCTCTCTCCCACCACCTTGCCCTCATTGTCTTTCCTCTCAAGCCCCTTCCTTTCCACTCCTTTCCCATTTTAATCTTGTTCTCTATTGTGTTGGTGGTGCTGATGAATCTGCCAGAGTTGAGTTGTATGTATGTATTTATTTATCTATCTACTCCATTTCTCTTAAAAGCCCTCAAGTCATAAAGTAAATGGTTCAAGCAATGGGGTACTGGGTCACAGGGATTCCTCCTTTTCCCCCCAAATATTAACTCCAGAAACTAGGCCTGATTGTGGATACCTGAGAGTAGTATAGTAGTGCAAAATGGAAGACTGATTTTTTACTCCATTTTAATCAGCTTCAGAGATTGCTTAAACCTTCCTAATTTCCTGCTCCAGGCCAGTAACCACAAATATTTCTTCAAGGAGGGATGAAAACCTCGGAAGTTTTAATTTGAGATTATCTGCTATGAAACAGTATTTCTAAAAGGCTAAGGTGATAAGTCTCTTCTTTTTTGATCCTGCTTTCTTGTAATATATTTCCTCAGAGAAATCAAAGGGGTAGTTAGAAGTATAAAACAAGAGAAATAATACATTATGGAAAATGAAAATAGGGAAAATAATTGAATCATTTTAGAAGTAGCTAATTTCTTTTCACAAGAGTGTCCCTTCTTCAGGCCTACTCACTTTACAACTTTGCTCCTGTGGGTTGAAAACTCTAGCTAAAGAAAGATACCAAATCTTAATATGCATTCTTGCTATTATGATAGTTTTTAAGGTTTCAATTCAATCTTCCGAACTGCATAAGTCCTTAGTATTTTAGCCTTACCTCCTGCATTTGCAATATGTAATACTGATCAGTGGGCAAAGTTCTTCACCTGCACTGAGACACTGAAATGAACAATTACATTCTGACTCTACATCTTGTCCTCAATCCTTCCAAAATTATTGTTGCCGATTTGTGCTGCCATTTACTCATTTATTTAATAAAGACATTCAATCCCAGGACTGGAGTCTAGTTTTTTTCTCTCTTCACAAGGGAAGCCGTAGAAATCTGAGAAATTAGCCTTGGTTTCACATTCAGCTTATACATTTTATTTATTTTGAGACAGGGTTCTGCTGTGTCACCTAGGCTGGAATGCAGTGGTGTGATCATGGCTCACTGCAACCTCCACCCGCCAGGGTCAAGGGATCCTCCCACCTCAGCATCCCAAGTAGCTGGGATTACAGCTGCCCGCCACCATGCCTGGCTAATTTTTGTATTTCTCATAGACACAGGGTTTTGCCATGTTAGCCAGGCTGGTCTGGAACTCCTGACCTCAGGTGATCTGCCCGCCTTGGCCTCCCAAAGTGCTAGGATTAAAGGCATGAGCCACCACACCTGGCCTCATTTTATCTTTCTATAATAATATTCAACTTATAGGAAGAATAATTTGAATAGCATTTAGACATTAAATGGTGAACTTCAAATTGAACAGATAAATAACGAAAGGGCAAAATCAACTTAAAATCAGAAAAGTAGTTACGGAGACAACTACAACCACTCTTCTGCCTGACCACTGACTACCAACATATTTCAGGTAATAATTCTCCTAGGTGCCTAAGAAGATAAACTAATTCACGTTATCTGCTTAACTGTTAGGTTTTGTGTGTGTACTCTATGAAAGGCACTGAGCCAAACTGAATGTAAACGGGAATCAGACCAGACTCCAACTCTCAAGAGAAACTGTGAATACCAATATGGATAGGATAGCATTGGGCAGAGTACCGTAAATAAGAATGACATTATCTAGAGAAGTCCCCAAGAGGGAGATAAAAATATAAATCTGGCCGGGTGCGGTGGCTCACACCTGTAATCCCAGCACTTTGGGAGGCCCTTAAGAGGGAGGATCACGAGGTCAAGAAATAGAGATCATCCTGGCCAACATAGTGAAACCCCGTCTCTAATAAAAATACAAAAATTAGCCGGGTGTGGTGGCAGGCACCTGTAGTCCCAGCTACTTGGGAGGCTGAGGTAGGAGAATTGCTTGAACCCAAGAGGTAGAGGTTGCAATGAACCAAGATCATGCCACTGCATTCCAGCATGGCGACAGAGCAAGACTTCATCTCAAAAAAAAGAAAAAAAAATACAAATCCTCCCCTCAAGACCATGAAAAGCCCACATCTAAAGATGGTCCCAGTCTAATGAAGTACGGGGCCAGGAAGGATAAGTAGTGCGTCCTTTTCTATTCACTGAGTTTTGAAGGGCTCCTTCAGAGTCCTTCGGTCATGGCAATTGGTGGGTGGAAACAGGTATCAACTGTTTGGTTAATAAAATGACTAAATGGATTTGCAAACTCCTGCCCCATCCTCTTGCAGCCCTCCAAAAAGGAATGACTCGGTGGGTGCGGTGGCTCACGCCGGTAATCCCAGCACTTTGGGAGGCCGAGGCGGGCAGATGACTTGAGGTCAGGGGTTCGAGACCAGCCTGGCCAACATAGTGAAACCCCGTCTCTACCAAAAATCCAAAAAATAGCCCAGCGTAGTGGTGGCGGACGCCTGCAATCCCAGCTGCTGGGGAGGCTGAGGCTGGACACGGGAGGTGGAGATTGCAGCGAGCCGAGATTGAGCCACTGCACTCCAGCCTAGGCGACGAAACGAGACTCCGTCTCAAAAAAAAAAAAAAAAAAGAAAGAAATGACCCAGTTATTTGTTTCACTGTTCGCACTGACAGCTTGGCTCTGGGGGCCTTACATTCGGGCAGTAACTGGAAAAATGTGTCCATCAGGCACAGAACCGAATTCACGAGCAAAGCCAGGAACGTCCCAAACAGCTGCACCCGAGATTAGGATAAGGAAGCGAGGCTGTCATGTCAACCTAAGCCTGGCCGCCCCGGAGCCCCGCAGAAGCAGCCAAGAGGTAAGACGCAAACTGCAGGACTGATGCACAATCTGAGTCTCCCTCTGCGGTTCGTCAACTTTTAGGAGCAAACACCAACGCCGGGCTCCGTCCCCTGCTGGAACTATTCAGACGCGCAAGACACGTAACCAGCAATCCTCCGCCCCGTTAAATAGTCCTGCCGAGGATGCCTCGGGGACGCTCTTTTCCACCACAGAAGTCCCTCGACAGACAGGCGATGAGCCTCGGGGATGCATCATCTTTCTGTCCGAATGGGAGTACGGGTTTTCTGATCATTTTCCCTTCACAGATTCCTCCGCCAGAACTCTTAGTCGCGGCGTCTTCTCTTCCGGGTCCGCCATTTTGTCGCCTCCGTTTCTCCACGAGGGGGGGTTAAAGGCCCCCAAAACATGAATACATGAAAAGAGCAAAAAGTAACCGTCCTTGACAGGGAGCCTTAACTAGAGAAGGATACGGGACTAAACTGGCGGGCTCCGTGGAAGTGCGGCCGGCAGCGTCCCGGACAAGGAGGTGAGGGGGAAGAAGAGACGTGTGGACTCCGGGGGGTGTCAGGGCTGGAAAGGAAAGTGCCGTGAGAAGTCGCACTGCTTCCCAGTCAACCTCCGACTTCTGGGTGCTGACCGAGCGGCGCCCCGTCGCCGAAGCAGGGGCAGCTGGGGGATGGGGACGGAGAGGAAGGGGATGTTGTCGGGAGGAAGGGGAGGGGACTGGAAGGAGGTGAAGAAGGGGGTGGGTGTAAGACCTGGGGCTGGGGAGCTGGACCTAGGGAAGCCCTGGCCGCGGAGGTGACCACTAGGGGGCGGCGCGGAGCCGGGGCTGAGGCCTGTCCCCGAGACTGAGACTGGCTTCCTGCCCGAAATTGGTTTCGGTCTTTCAGACAGACATTAGTGTGAGGAATTGGAGGGTTTATGATAGAGGGGGAAACGGCGACTCTCATTCTCTGATCCTAATAATAACCTGAAAGATTGTTAGTGAACTTGGTAATCTGAATGAGAACAGTAAGGACCCCGCCTCTGCTGTTTTTTTTCTTTTTTTTTTTTTTTTCAAGACTTGAGTCTCGCCGGGTGCGGTGGCTCACGCCTGTAATCCCAGCACTTTGGGAGGCCGAGGCGGGTGGATCACGAGGTCGAGAGATCGAGACCATCCTGGTCAACATAGTGAAACCCCGTCTCTACTAAAAATACAAAAAATCAGCTGGGCGTGGTGGCGCGTGCCTGTAATCCCAGCTACTCAGGAGGCTGAGGCAGGAGAATTGCCTGAACCCAGGAGGCGGAGGTTGCGGTGAGCCGAGATCGCGCCATTGCACTCCAGCCTGGGCAACGAGCGAAACTCAGTCTCAAAAAAAAAAAAAAGACTGAGTCTCGCTCTGTCACCCAGGCTGGAGTGCATTGGCGCGAACTTGGCTTACTGCAACCTCCGCCTCCCGGGTTCAAGCGATTCTTCTGCCTCAGCCTCCCGAGTAGTTGGGGTTACAGGCGCGTACCCGGCTGATTTTATTTTTTATTTTTAGTAGAGACAGGGTTTCGCCGTGTAAGCCAGTATGGTCTCGATCTCCTGACCTCATGATCCGCCCACCTCAGCCTCCCAAAGAGCTGGGATTACAGGTGTGAGCCACGGCGCCCGGACAATTTTTGTATTTTTTTAGTAGAGACGGGTTTCACCATGTTGGCCAAGCTGGTCTCGAACTCCTGACCTTAGGTGATCCACCTGCCTTGACCTTCCGAAGTGCTGGGATTATAGGCACTGCTCCCGGCCTCAACTCTGCTTCTTTCAGCGTTGTTTGTGCAGCTGGCTGCCCAATGAGGACTTGAGCAATACAAAAAGAACCATGGATTCTTCCATTGCAATTCTTTCTGTTGGCTGTCTCCTATACTTCTGTGAGCCAGAGGTCATCCCATTCCTCTCCCTTTTCCCAAAAGGGGTTTCTCTCTAGGGGGTCCCCCCACCTCAGTGTCTAAGGACAAAGACAGTCTATGGCATGCTATCAACAATGTAACACAGTTTTGGCCACCCGGGACCATATTTTCATCTAATCACTTGGTCCACTCATTCCAGGAGAGATGTTCTTAGGCGTCTGTTTTCACACGTGCTTTGATGACAATAAGGATTAAACTGCTCCATCCAAATTCTTAAGAAAACAAAAGTAGGCCGGGCGCGGTGGCTCAAGCCTGTAATCCCAGCACTTTGGGAGGCCGAGGCGGGCGGATCACGAGGTCAAGAGATCGAGACCATCCTGGTCAACATGGTGAAACCCCGTCTCTATTAAAAATACAAAAAATTAGCTGGGCATGGTGGTGCGTGCCTGTAATCCCAGCTACTCAGGAAGCTGAGGCAGGAGAATTGCCTGAACCCAGGAGGCGGAGGTTGCGGTGAGCCGAGATCGCGCCATTGCACTCCAGCCTGGGTAACATTCGTGAAACTCCGTCTCAAAAAAAAAAAAAAAAAAAAAAAAAAAAAAAAAAAGAAAACAAAAGTAATTTCTCTTGGATAATAGAGTACTTTGTTATCAATATCAAGAGCGCAAGCACTTCATGAATTATTAAAACACACATTGAAAGGTTTTGTCCGGGCACCATGGCTCACGACTGTAATCCCAACATATTGGAAAGCTGAGGCAGCAGGATCCTCAGCTTGAGCCCAGGAGTTCTAAATCAGCCTGGGCAAAATAGGGAGACCCCCTGTCTCTACAGACAAAAAAAAAAAAAATGTTTTAATCGGTTGCTGTAGTGTCCACCAGTGGACCCAGCTACTCAGAAAGCTGAAGGGGAAGGCTTGCTTGAGCCCAAGAGGTCGAGGCTGCAGTGAGCTGTGATTGCACCACTGCATTCCAGCCTGGACCACAGAGTGAGGCCCTGTCTCTTTAAAAAACAAACAAACAGGCCCGCCATGGTGGCTCATGCCTGTAATCCCAGCATTCTGGGAGCCTGAGGTGGGTGAATCACATGAGGTCACGAGTTTGAGACCAGCCTGGCTAACATGGTGAAACCCTGTTTCTACTAAAAATACAAAAATTTAGCCAGGCGTGAAGGCACATGCCTGTAATCCCAGCTACTCCGGAGGCTAAGGCAGGAGAATCGCTTGAACCTGGTAGGTGGAGGTTGCAGTGAGCCCAGATCGAGCCATTGCACTCTAGCTTGGGCAACATGAGTGAAACTCCATCTCGAAAAAAAAAAAAAATCACTTTATCCAATCCCCTATTGACATATACTTAGGCTCTTTTCAATCTTTTGTTTGTTTGTTTGTTTGTTTTAATTTTTGTTTTTAGAGACAGGGTCTTACTCAGTCACCCAGGCTGGAGTGCAGTGACCATAGCTTATTGCAGCCTCGAACTCCTGGGCTCAAGTGATCCTCCTGCCTTAGGCTCCTGAATAAGTAGGACTACAGGTGTGGGCCACTATACCCTGCTAATTTTTTTATTTTTGTAGAGACAGAGTCGCTCTGTGTTGCCCAGGCTGGGCTTGAATTCCTGGCTTCAAGCAATCCTCCTGCTTTGGCCTCCCAAAGCACTGGAATTTATTTTATTCATCTCCAAAATCCTAGAAGGCAAGTGAGACAAATTTTGTTTCCTCAGTTTATGTGTAGGGAAAGTGGTGATATAGCCAGTAAGGAAGAATATTGTTAGCTATTTGTAATCAAGGAGTCAGGAGTGCCTAGACTGTTTTCTAGTTTATCAGGCTTCATCTGTTGTCTGGTAGATGGCCCACCAGACAAGTACTGACCATCTGCCAGCACCAGCATTGACTCTTCCCCTCAAAATATTCTGTGTGTGTGTGTGGTGGCACATGCCTGTAGTCGCAGCTACTTGGGAGGATGAGGCAGGAGAATCACTTGAACCCAGGAGGCAGAGATTGCAGCGAGCTGAGACTGCGCCACTGAACTCCAGCCTGTGGACAGAGTGAGACTCCACATCCAAAAAAAAAAAAAAAAAAATGGGAAAGTAAAGGAATAAAGAATGGCTACTCACTTGGGACTGCTGGTTGCCCCCCCCCTTTTTTTTTTTGAGACAGAGTTTCGCTCTTGTTAACCAGGCTGGAGTGCAATGGCGCGATCTCGGCTCATCGCAACCTCCGCCTCCTGGGTTCAGGCAATTCTCCTGCCTCAGCCTCCTGAGTAGCTGGGATTACAGGCACGCGCCACCATGCCCAGCTAATTTTTTGTATTTTTAGTAGAGACGGGGTTTCACCATGTTGACCAGGATGGTCTTGATCTCTTGACCTCGTGATCCACCCACCTCGGCCTCCCAAAGTGCTGGGATTACAGGTGTGAGCCACCGCGCCCGGCCTCTTTTTTTTTTTTGAGACGGAGTTTTGCTCTCGTTGCCCAGGATGGAGTGCAATGGCACCATCTTGGCTCACTGCAGCCTCTGCCTCCCGGGTTCAAGTGATTCCCCTCTCAGCCTCCCGAGTAGCTGGGATTACAGGTATATGCCACCACGCCCGGCTAATTTTTTGTATTTTTAGTAGAGACGGGGTTTCTCCTTGTTGGCCAGGCTGGTCTCAAAACTCCCGATCCCAGGTGATCCGCCCACCTTGGCCTCCCAAAGTGCTGGGACTATAGTCTGAGCCACCACACCTGGCCCTGGTTGTCCATTTTATGATTATTTCTTGATTATATGCTAAATAAGGGGTGGATTATTCGTTTGTCCTCTTTTTAGACCATATAGGGTAACTTCTGGACATTGCCATAACATTTGTAAACTCCATAGCATGGCACTGGTGGGAGTGTAGCACAAAGGACAATCAGGAGGTCACTCTTGTCACCATCTTGCTTTTGGTGGGTTTTAGACATCTTTCTTTACTGTGGCCTGTTTCATTAGCAAGATCTTTATGACCTTTATCTTGTGCTGACGTCCTATCTCATCCTGTGACTAAGAATGCTTTAACTGGCTGGATGCGGTGGCTCACACCTATAATTCCAGCACTTTGGGAGGCTGAGGTGGGTGTATCACTTGAGATCAGGAGTTCGAGACCAGCCTGGCCAACGTGGTGAAACTGTGTCTCTACTAAAAATACAAAAATTAGCCAGACAGTAGTGGCACGAGCATAATCCCAGCTACTTGGGAGGCTAAGGCAGAAGAATTGCTTGAGCCTGAGAGGCGGAGGTTGTGGTGAGCTGAGATTGTGCTACTGTACTCTAGTATGGGCGACAGAGTCAGACCTTGTCTCAAAAAAACAAAAAAAGAATGCCTTAACTTAATTGGAATGTAGCCCGGTAGGTCTCAGCCTTATTTCATCCAGCTCCTGTTCATGGTGGAGTTGCTCTGGTTCAAACACCTCTGACATGTCTCCCCTCCCTTTTATATGAGAACCGTTAATCCTAAGGGTTGTAAAGGGATAATGAACCATCTTCTGTAACTTTTTCAGGCTGAATAGGGGTGATGATATTCCTGCCTGACTTTTAGGTTCTCTTGTATTCAGGGTAGAGAGGTGCCCAGTCGGAAAGTATCGGTCTGGTGAGAGCTATTCATGACTGACAAAAGGTGATATCTGGAAGATTAAAAAGTGTTCAGT